TCCAAATAAAAAAGAATGCATCTAAAAGTGCAATTGGTAACACTAGAAAGAGTCTTGATTTTTCGGCAATGTCAATGATATTACCCAAATGCTCAACAAGCTCCAAGGCTCCGAAAGCCACAAAATAAACTGCACCAATAAGAATTATTTTGAAGGTTATGCCTCCTAAAGTGGGTCTCATAACAATGTAACCCATTGAAGGACGAGAGACAATTTTCTTCATAGCACTAAAGCTTACTGCCCAAAATTTTGGGAATTTGGAATTAGAATGCGGATTTGAGGGATTTAGAAGTGACGAATTCGTGAAATTTTGGTATGGTGGCAATTGACGCTTTGACGTGGTGGTGTTTGTGAAGGCGACGACGACGGCAAATGGTGAGGTAATGGCCTACCGACGACGGTGAGAGGTGTTTTCCTAGTTTAATTTTTTTATAACTAAGGTTTCCAAACTTCCCCTGACTAATCCTGAGGAGTGGCAGCCTTTTCTCTCAGTTTGCCACCCTAGTAAATTCGGATGCGACCACAACTTATACACATTTGGGCCGAACATTTGAGATGCGGTTCTCCCTATGGACTTCCCTTTACAACGTGCAGATAGGACCCTTGGAGGGGCGACAAAGCGCACCATAACTTTGCCTTCACATGACAACTGCCTTTCAACATAAATGTTGCCTTTTCACTACTGCGGGATTCTTAGTTCCGTTGTTCCATATAGAATCCTCCTACTTTACCACTGCGCCATGCACGTGGGGGTAGGGGCAACAGGGTTGGGGAAGAATTTTTGAGGGGAATGCAAAATATTTTCTTTTATCTTTCTTTCTTTTTTATTTAATAATTTAATTGTTTATAATAGGGAAATATAAATTATCATTGCAATCCTTCAAAAATTGTTAAAATATGGTCAAAGTTATTTTTTTGGTCAACTAACAAAAAAGTGGTGGATTTTATCAATTTGGACTCAGCTATTAATTTCTTAAAAGTTTGGAATCTCCGTTGGTGTGTAAACTGAATGTGTAGGTAAAGTCTGCTAAAAACTCAAAAGTTTGGAATCGCTGTTGCAATTTTCCCTAAAAATTATTATTTAAGCCTTATTTTGGATTAGATAAAATATTAGATTTTTAGTAGATTTTAATAATAAAAAAATTGATAAAATATGTGGTTGAAAAGTTTTGGATATCATGAAATGTGTGGTAGAAAATGAGTATAAGTAAAAATTAGTTTCAGAAAATGAGGACCAAACAGAGGCTAAGACCAATTGAAGAGATTTAGTGATCAACATTGTTCTTCTATTTTTTTTTTTTTCTATTCTCGGCCATAAATTACGGGCGATGTTTGTTATATATCGAATATGTGTTTGTATAAGTCAAGTATGATGGCTTAAATTTCTGAAAATGTATGTAAATATTGAACAAGTCATTATAATTAGTGGTGGTTTATCGAATGAGAATTATAGGCCCTGGATTTGTTCCATTTCTTGTCATTTCAGTATTGGTATTTTCAAAACTAATAATTTTATTGTTCAAGAATCGTTACTAACTTACTAGGTATTTGTGCTCGAATTAACAAGTTTCAATCGTTAATTCTAGACATTCTACGTGAATCAATGGGATCTAATCATGTTCTGAGATTTTGTTCTATGCTTCCGCCAACGGTATTAGAGCTTAGATATGCCTGAAGTTCGTAAAACTTGATGAGAGAAGTTATGTTTACACGATGATAACATTTTCATCTATTTTGATTCAGAGAAGTGGATGAGTGGTGATTCAGGTGAGGGTTACGATGGTCCCCCGATTTTTAATGAATAAATTAAAGATGCCAATCTAAGTGCAGACTTGGTGGGTGATAATTTCAATAAGAATGTTGATTTCAAAGCAAGATCTTTTTCTTTTAAACCGATGGCTTTTGTTAATCTCAACCGGCCAGAAATGCTTTCTGATTGTGATCTCTACATAGACAAGAAAATAAAAGAAGTTTCTTTAATGATGCAATAACTGAAATAAAAAAGTTTCTTTGATGATGCAATAACTGAATCCCAGCCATCTAATGATCCGCATATTCTGTCAAGCTTGAAAACTTCATTAGTCATGGATGTTTCGTTGCCAACGTGCAATATCACATCAAAATCTAAAGGTTGCACCTCTTCTATCTCCTTACATTGAATGCATATACCATACTGATTCCTACATATGGAGTTTATGCAAGTGGTTTCTTAGCTCTGGGTTTTGAAATTGTAAGACAAAATTGAAGCCTTAAATAAGAACAAAACAAGTGCTACATATTCTTTGTTGGTTGATGGAGTGACGCTCAATCTTTTTATTTTTGAATATTTTCTTGGGACATGTGGTGTTAATTTTTGGGATAGTGCTAATCCAAACAAGTTCTTGAAATCAAGACAAGAATTTCATCCATTTTAATTCTCAAATTTCACGAGTGTTCTGCTATGGACAGTTTCGAAGCAAGTTTTACTGTTCATCAAAACCTATGTCCGTCTAAATTCCCAACGGGCCTAACCTTTGGGGATGTGGTAATACCTCTAAGAAATTATTCCATCCAACATACATATGTCCGCGTTCCCGAAGACACCCTTCTCTTTCAAGAGGATTCACGACATGTCAATTCCTCGTAAGGTTCGTATTGTTTTCCTCTCAAGAGTAGGTTCTTACGCATTACTCACCCATCCGCCACTGGAAACACTGCTTCCCATGTTGCCCTATTCGGGAATTTTCGGAACTATGCTAAATCAATACAAAATATTTGAACCTGATTCGATTTGATACTAATGTAGTAGTATATAGAACTATTTTGATTTCATTGAAGTTATAGATTAGAACAACTCGATAAATTTGGATTACATTAGTTCAAGCGAATTCTCCCTAGATACACACGTCGTGTAGGGCGAGCTAATCCCAAAAGCCCATCCTAAGAAGGGATTAGATGAAGATATTTGAAAGATTCAAGGACGAATATCCTCTTGTCCAAGAAGGCTGATGCGATAAAAAGTCACGAGACGTCGCTACAACAATTGATGGTTTGTGTTCCAAAATTATTTATGTCACTTTAATTATAGTTGTGTTTCTCTTACGATGTTTGGGACATGTGTAATCTTTATTTTGTAGACTTGTGAACATGTAAATGTATTTTAATATTAACCAAGTCATTGTAATTCGTGGTTTACGAATGAAAATTATAGGACTTGGATTTGTTCATTTCTTGTTGGTCGAATACACGTAATCTTTGAAATTAACGATTTTGTTATCAAGAATCATTTCTTGATATTCGTGCATTAATCAACAAGTCATGTTCTTTGTTTGATACTCGCTTCCAGTTATGTCATCTCAATAGAAGTAATCTTGTCATCACTCGTAAATCAATTTTCATTAATATGTGATTTTTATGAGTACTAATACCTGTTATTATTTTTTCACGTAGGATTCAAATTCGGACTTATTGTCAATTTCAAGTTGGTCAAAAACTGCTTATGAAGATTTAGGTTTATGGGTTTTGCCACTCTCCAGTCGACTGTGAGTCAAGAAAAGAAACGTTTATTTTAGTCTTTCTTAATATTGGGTTGGATGGTAAACCTTGTTGGTTTAATTAATTTTAATCTTTCTAGAACTGACCTGTGAGGTCATGTTGTCATTGGTTACATGACAGTGTGCATTACCGAATTTTGAATTGTTTGACTTGTCAACAAAAAAAATTATAAAAAAAGGGGCTTGTTGTCAACTAGTAAAAAGGATGGAAACATGACCTTGGGAACCACAAAACCCGCTCCTTCACCACAATAGTGTCTTCAACATTTTTTCAGAGACAACCATTGCCCTTTTTTTTTCACAACACACGACGGTGAGTTCCTGACGTGTACTGTGGTCGACAAATTTTCAAAATTTGACGGGGTCCATTGCATAAGTCAACTCGGGCTGATGACTTCTTCCGTTGTCTTCAACATTTTTTCAGAGACCACCATTGCCCAATTTTTTTCACAACACACGACGGTGAGTTTTCGATGTCGACTGTGGTCGCCAAATTTTCAAAATTTGACAGGGTCCATTGCATAAGTCAACTCGGGCTGATGACTTCTCCCGTCGTTTTCAACATTTTTTCAGAGACCACCATTTGCCCACTTTTTTCACAACACACGACGGTGAGTTCCCGACGTCGACTGTGGTCGCCAAATTTTCAAAATTTGACGGGGTCCGTTGCATAAGTCAACTCGAGCTGATGACTTCTCCCGTCTCTACCGTTGTCAAGGTTCTTCCTTTTCGAACCAAACAAAGTGCCAACCATTTTTGCCGATGAAGGTATCTTGCATTTTTTATACATAATTTTTAATGACTTGCATCCATATATAAGGAGGGATGAATATGTAAACTTTCTCTGATTTCATATGTATGGGAGGAAGTTTCTTTGATTTCATATGTTTGGAATTTTTTTGATCCATATACTTCTCGACTTTATGCTAGTTTGAAGTGGATTGCAGTTTATGGTTGGTTTTCATCTGGGTTAAGCGTGTAGGTGCCACTGAAATCCTCAATTAATAAAGTGTTGTAGGGACAATTTTGGACCGAATTAGTTGGACAATTAATAAATTAATAACTTGCCACTCATGAACTAGTTGGGCTTCACACAATTATGTATTACTTTTCGTGGAACGGTTAATATTGTACTTCAGTGTTCTTGATTTGTATACATCCTTACATAATACAAATTGACATCTTGAACATTTTGTCGCAGAAGTAGAAGTTATGGTGGATTCAGATGAATTGTTGGTGGAATCTGAAAATGAGAATGTGGGCGACAATATGATCATAGTGGACGATGAAACAGTTGGAGGAGATGATCGGATTGTGCCTGTAGTGGGTATGAAATTAAAGATGAAAAAGAAGCCTTCGACTTTTATAAAAGATATGCTAATGCCCTTGGCTTTCTAGTTCGAAAACAGAATTCGAAGAAGGATGACGATGGGGTTTTGAGATACGTTACATTAACATGTAGCCGTGAAGGTCGTCGAAGTGGTAATACCAACGGTTCTTTAAAGCCACAACCAACAATTTAGACAGGTTGTAAAGCAAGGATCTCTACATCTTCCGATGTACTTGGTACTTGGAGAATTAACACAGTCCACCTTGAACACAATCACGAGACAAGTCCTTCAAAATCTAGATTGTACCGCTATAACAGAGAATTGAGTGACCAGGTGAAGTGAAGGCTCGAGGTTAATGATATGGTAGGAATTCCGTTGCACAAGAGTTTTAACTCTGCAGTAGTTGAAGCAGGCGGGTATGAGAACCTCACATGCGTGGAAAAGGATTGTCGGAACTACATTGAACAAGTGCGGCGACTAAGACTTGGAGAAGGAGATGCCGCAGCCATACAGTCCTATTTTTCAGAAATGCAAGCGAAATGCTCGGGCTTTTAGTTTAGTATTGATTTGGACGGTGAAGGGTGGTTGAAAAATGTTTTTTGGGCGGATTATTAATGTAGGCAAGCGTATAAGGAGTTCGGGGATGTTGTCACATTTGATACCACGTACCTAACCAATAAGTACGATATGCCGTTTGTCCCTTTTGTTGGCATAAACCATCACCGCCAATCAACACTGCTTGGTTGTGGTTTGATATCGAATGAGGATACGAACACTTTTGTCTGGCTATTTAGGATATGGCTTCAGTGCATGCATGGCCAACCTCCGCACAGAATAATTACCGATCAGGATAGGGCCATGCAAAGTGCAATTAACATTGTTTTTCCACATACAAAGTATAGATGGTGTTTATGGCATATCCTAAAAAAACTACTTGAGAAGTTCGGATATCATGTGGACAAGGGTTCAATATTTGCTACTATTCACGAATTGGTATATGACTCGCAATTTATTGAACAATTCGAAGATGGTTGGAGAGCAATGCTCGATACATTTGAGTTGCATGATAATGATTAGTTATCGGGACTATATGAAAATAGAGGACATTAGGTCCCTTGCTACTTCAAAAGCACATTTTGGGCTGGAATGTCGACCACACAGCGAAGTGAGTGTATGAATGCTTTCTTCGATGATTATGTGCATTCAAAGACCTCGCTAAAACAGTTTGTCGAACAGTATGAACGAGCACTGCGAAATAAAGTTGAGGAGGAATTTTAGTCTGATTTTAAGTCTTTTTCATAGATGGTACCATGTGCTACAACATACGAAATGGAGAAACAATTTCAAGAGGTCTACACCATTTCCAAGTTTCGAGAAGTTCAAGCTGAGTTTACGGGAAAAGTTTACTGCGACCTTATATCTGCTTCGCAAGGGCCGTTGGGGATAACGTATGAAGTACAGGAGGATGTTGTGTGTGGTGATCGCCGAAAAAAGAAAATATTTTTTGTCACATTTCAGAGAGAGTCATGTGACATTAGCTGTAGTTGCCACTTGTTTGAGTTCCGTGGAATAATTTGCAGGCACGCGATCGCAGTGTTGATTCGTAATGATGTTAACGTACTGCCAAATCGCTATATACTGAGGAGATGGAGGAGAGACGTAAGTAGAGCACATACAAGGGTACGGGCTAGAGAGTACTCTTGGCCAATTGAGATACGACAATATGTGTCAGGCGTTCGCCTCTATGGCAGACCTTGTAGCAGACGATGAAGTCCGGTCACGTGTGGTAATGGACTGGATTCAAACCATAAAGAAAGAGCTTATGATGCCATCACCAAGCAGTGGAAGTAATGTCTTATGGCATCACGCTTTTCAGTTACCCTTGCACGATACTGGATCACAAAATACTGTCGTCCGAAGCATAGGTGATCCTAAGCAGTCAAAGAAAAAGGGTACGCCTAAGAAACTTCGAAGGAAAAGCCCCTTGGAGATGCACTCGAAGAAAACAAAGGTAGATTTATTAACTTGGCTTTCAGCGTACTTAAAAAAAAAAAGTACAGCATTCATTTTAGGTGTACATGCAGGTGCCGTTGGTTGCATGCATAAGAAAAAAACCAGCCACTAGCCATAGTGGCATGGCGAAGGTTGCATCACATTCTCAGACATCTCAACAACAACGAGTCTTGGTACGTACATACATTACCTCATTTTTGTGCGTTTGATGTTTTATATATGTTGTTAGTTTATGCAGGGCGATGAGGAAAGTTATGCAGTCGCACAATACCAACCCTCGTTCAATATGATCCAACTAGCGACAACAAATGTTATGATAAATTCTGATGGTAAATCCTTATCTACGTACACTACTTTAACAAATTTTGTGAAGTTGCATGTATTAATGTCTATTTATTGATGGTAGGTAACGTGGTTTACAACTACTATCCACATGCACAGTATGAAGGGGACACGACCAGAAGGCTCCAATGATCCATTTATGGGCCACCTTAATGTCAATGTAGTTTCTTGTATTTTGTCCACTCAACACTCCACTGATTTGTAGACTCCACTGATGTTCTATTGTTATTCTGCCCATTATTATGTGTATGGTTTCATACTTATTCTGTTGTAGACTCTACTGATGTATATGGTTTGATACTTATTCTGTCCATTATTATGTCAAGGGGATGAGCAAAGAAAAATGTTTTGGGTTAGAGGATTTAAGCATTTTTGCTTCCTTTTATGCCATTAGGCTCTTTTAATTGTAACTAGATCCTTCAATGCTTGCAGTAAAACTCTAGGATTCCAACACTAATTACTCTCTACAATTTTCGCAAAGAACCAATCTCATTTATCTTGTGTTCACCATTGAGACCATATAGCATCTTAAGGTTTATCTTAGCTCTATAGTTGCTGAACAATATTTGGATACGTTATTTCCCCCAAGCATGTATTTATTTATCCTGAACGATAGGAATTTAGGCGTTGCAGGGCCTAGATTCTGCCCAGTTTGGGCAGAATATGTGGCGCCTGGGCGCCACTGTTCCGGCGCCTAGGCTATTATTATACGTCTTTTTGTGTTGCTAATCTGTGACTAGCTTCCAATGACGTAACTGTATTACTGTATTTTAGAATTCTTTCGCTTAATTGCTCTCCATGCAACAGATGGTCAGGCTGGTGAAGCTTCATTGGACGAACATGAAGAGTTTACCGGGGGTAATGAGGACATTGATACTGACGAAGAAGAGGCTGAAGTTGCTAGTTCTAATAACATTTCAGACTAACCTTTTAATTAGTGGAACTTTAAGGGCAAGTTCCATTGATAGCTTCCTATTTATTCATTAATAGCATCTTGTCCTCTGTATCAAACAAGCTATAAGTGGGCTGTGTTTTCATTATATTTAGATAGTGAGCCTTTGCCTCCTTGTCAACATTTTTTGTGAAATCACGTGGAAAAACTTGAGAAAGGATTTGGTTTCTGTAATAGGTTTAAATTGAGCAAGCCCTTTTCTTCCTCTGCAGTTTTTGAATGAGATTATATTTTGTTATTTTTATTTTCCTGTCAACATTTTCTTTGGAATAAACATTGTGGTTCATGTGTGATTACAAAGCTTGTTGAATACATTTTATTTAATCCTTTACTTTAGAAAGGTGGCAGAAGCAAGGATGTCAAAATAGATTCAATAATGCCATAATCTCCTACATTTCGGAATGTAGGGAAAGAACTTCAAATTGCCCATAGTTGCCGTTAAAATAAATGCAATAATGCTACAATAATGCCATAATCTCCTACATTTCGGAATGCATGGGAAGAACTTCACATTGCCCATAATTGCTTGTTAAAATAGATGCAATAATGCCATAATCTCCTACATTTTGGAATGTAGGGGAAGAACTTCACGTTGCCCATAATTGCCTACTACATTTTTTGCTTTTTTGTGCATTCTAACTGGGAGAAATTGTGCACATCTAAGTTATGTATTACCACTTTGACCTTGAGACTAACTGTATACTTGTAAACCCAAATAATTTTATGGAAATAGACGTCAATTACTTAACATTAGTTGTTAATTGAAGTTACAAAAGTTACACAGCATGTAGTCATTGCATGGAGCTGCAAATTATTATACAAACGAAATTAGTTCATTCACGTAACACATACACAAAACCCCTTAAAGCTATTGAAACATTTGCCGCTACTCAAGCCACCCTTTTCCTTTTGCGCTTGCATTCGCAATGTCTTTTCCTTTGTGGATCGTCACAAAGTACGTATTTCTTTTTCGTCGTTCAGTTGAACTTGAGATTCGAACATGCAGGCCATATCGTCAGATGTTTCGTTCTCCACTTCTTCAGCCTTAGTAACACTAGCGGTACTAGACGCGCCAGTTGCTTCACCTTTTTCGCACCACTGCCAAAATCCGCACTTCATACTGCAACATTTGAAAAAGTTGCCTTTGTTAGCAGTCTCTCGTTCGACCACGAAAAACTTTTGGAACCCGCTGGTACACCGTAGACATCGATGTCTTATTGGGCACTCGACAAAGAAGTGTCCCTTGCTCCTGCACCCGTGGCATACTCCGGAATTCTTACCCACCATTCTGAGAACACAATCACATAGAGAATTATGAATGAGCATACCAAGAAGCATACGAGTAGCACGATCGTTTATTGCTCAATAGAATTAATGTCATCGATATAATTTTTAGTGCTCAATCAGTGTAAACCAAGAAACTTAGTGCACAATAGCACCATGAAATTGGCATGGTAAACCAAAAAGAGTGCTCTCATTTTTTACCGAGTTCTTGCATCGTATAGTATCCCGTCCCAATGATTTTAATGAAATATTCATGACTTGTAAAAGATTGATTCAATTAAGCGTGCAACTAATTTTGTGCGATTCCACCTGTCTTTGTCGAAAAATTTAGCTACATGAGCATAAGAATGATCTAAGAGTGGACGTTCCATTGCAAGAGAAGTGCATAAGATGCTAGAGAGATACTCAACATACCCCGCAACCAGTGTCCAATGCAATCTGAACAGTTCCACTTTCAATTGGTATCATAGAAACAGGCTGATCACTAGGGGAGAATTTGATGTTGCAGCCATGATGAGTTTCAAAATAGGTTTTGAGGATGTTGCAATTCGTTGTACTATTTGTCATGTCCATTGCTATAATAGATGATTCAACAGTGGGAAACATTAGTATGAAAAGATTATGCCCCCGTTTGGTTCCCATTCTCTTTCTCATTTTTCTCTTTCTTATTTTCAATCACACAATCTTACATAAAATAATATTATACACAAGTCAAAAACTTTTCATTCTTTTTCAACCACACATTTTTAAAAAAAATACTATTCCAACCATGAAAATTTGGCAAGAGTGGAGGCCAAACAGGGGCTATAAATTCGGAAGCCATGACTATATGCAAACATTGACTACAAGTTAGAAATTGAAGCCTGTGAGCATAATAGCTGGATTCTTAGCACTTTTGATGTCTCAAAGAACCCGTCCAACTACAACTACCCTTAAATGCCTCACTGTATAACCATAGTATGACACTACGTTATCAATCAAATCTTCAACAGTTTTATTGAATTCTAATTTGGTTTTCTATTAGTTTTCTATATTAGTATATCAATCCATTTTCTTTACAACAACTATCTATTTTTTCTTCAATAGTTTTTGTGATCAATTGGAACGAAAAATGAAAATGGCTACCATGGAAGAACTAATTCTACTTGAGGAGGACAGGCATCGGCGAGAGAAAATGAATGTGGGAAGAATTTGCATTGAGTTTTCAAGAAACCTATGGGAATTCTCAATTTGAAGAGAGAGTGAAAGGATAAGAGAAACATAGATTATGGGAAGTAGGGGCATGGCATGGGGGTGCGGGTGGGAGTCGGAGTGGGTTGTAGGGTGGCCCATTTTATATTTCAAAGGATTATAATTAAATCATATAAGCCTTTAGATTAACTTAAATTAAGGGCTGTGATTATTTTGTGAAAACTATTTGTCAAGAATATTGGTAGGGGAAACGCTCCCCTTAATATTATATAGAATATTTAGCCATTGACATCTGGAAATATATATACTAATTGAAAAACGAGGAAAAAACAAATGAATGTCGGGAAAAGTAATATAAAGAGTAAAAATAAAGAGTTTGTTGGAGTGTATAAAATATTGCTCTTTACATTTAAAGATCCTCTCTATTATGATCAAAGTGTTTTTTT